TTATATAAAAATGTGGGCGCTCAACTATTGTTTTTCTGCAAGGCCAATTTGCTGTTCGAGCATTACTTGGTGTTCCTTATTGTTGTTGTTGTGGTTCTTAACTATTATATGTAAATTTCTATTTCTATTCCTAATTCTGTTCTTCTCTTTTCTTTTCATTTTCGTTTGTGCAAAATAATTAACAAATTTTGGGGAACAATAAATAACAAAAATCTACTGCCAAAACAAGTGGGAAAAAGTATCGGGAAATGTAGAAGTAAAAAAGGTGCTAAAGGAACTTAAACATTAGAGGTGTTATACAATAAATAATGACAAAAAAAATGTTAAAAAAAAAAAATTTTTTTTGTGTATGTGTAGCAAGTAGTTGCAGCAAAACATGTGGCAATTGGGGCAGTTGGAGAGATGAGGATAAAGCAAGGAGCGGAGAGGTAGACAGCTGGAACAGCTTGGGTTGTGGCTAGAAATGGAGCTAGCTAAACTTGAAGCTTGGAGTAAGGCTTTCGGTTTCGATATTGCAGTTGTAGCTCCTCCAGTCGCTCGCTGCAGTTGATGACTGTAACAGATTGTAACCATGTCCACTTTGTGATGGAGTGAAAGCTATAGCTATTGCTATATTTGAAACTAGAATTTCGATTGCAATGACAATGAGTGTGTGCGTGTGTGTGTGTGTGCGTGTGTGTGTGTGTGCGTGCGTGAGTGTGAGGGGGTGGCCTTCGTTCCAGGCAATATTGGCTTGGATGTTGCTTCTACTCCTCCAGTTGTTGTTGCTGCTGTTGCTCCTCCGCCTCCGTCCGCTGCTGCTGCTGCTCCTGCTGCTGCTGCTCCTGCTGCTGCAGCTATTGCTGCCTAACTAGTTTACAATTAATTTATTTTCAGTCGTCGCCGCGGCGGGACGGCATGGGCAACATCGATCTGCGATTATCGATCCGTCGATCATTATTATCGACATCGGCATCGAGTCGTCGTCGTCGTCGTCGTCGTCGTCGTCGTCGCCGCCTGTCACTTTTCGGTGCGGAACAGCTTACTCAGATTGGCATTCTGATTGCTGTCCATGATGTCGACGCTGGTTGTGTTGATTTGCTTTTGATTTGACTGCATCGGTGGCAAGTTGGCGATTTGCACCTCGTGCCGGAACAATTGATTGACGCTGCGGCCCACTAACTGGGCCGTCAGCTTCTTGAATATGTCCTTTTTGGCGCGATCCACCTTGTTGCCCTTGACGGGAGCCACCGCGACCTTCTCATCGAACTTCTGCACATCCGCCGCATTGACGCTTGGAATGTGCTGCAAAACTTCGCTGAGCACTGGGAATTTCGGACGCAGCAGCTCATAGAACTGAACGCCGAGTGTGATCAAGCCGGATTGATTAGCTTCATGCTGACCATGCACCTGCATGCCCTGCAGCACCGCTGTAAAGGCACTCACGGCCTTGTTCTCATCCATCAGCTGCTCGGCGGCCAGGAAGCGCATGACGGGCGCTGCTATATTCACAGCCTTCATGCTGCACATGCCATCGTTCCAGGCGATCGCCTTCAGCAGTGTCATCAGGATGTAGTTGCCGATCATGCCATTGCGCAGCAGCTGGCCACCCAGATCGCTGATGGTGTCCGAGAGCAGGGCCGATTGCGAGGCACGCGACTGTGGTGCACTGTCCATGGAGTGCTCCTCGTTCTCCATTGCCACCACATTGGCACCCCCAGCAGCATTCACATGATCCGCACCGATTTGTCCGCCCACCAAGGCGATCTTTAGCACATCGAGATATTCGCGTGTGAGTGTCCGGTTCAGCTGATCCTCGAGCACTTCCTGTGTGTCGTTCACCTCGCCATTCAGCTGCCCCGACTCGTACAGCGACGAGATGTAGATCCAGCGACGTGTCAGCCGCTCGCACATGAGCGGAGTCAGATGAGCGAAGAGCGGCACCAGCACCGACTCATAGAAGCTGGGCGGGCACGAGTAGACGAATGGCTTAAAGAATACTCGGATTATGGGCCGCATACGATAATCGGGTATGATGTCCAAGCAGCTGAACACATTGCTGATTATGGCATCGGACAGACCCACCAGCTGGTAGAGATCACGGCCGAGCGATGGACCCGCCGAGCCCATCAAATGATAGCAGCCCTCGCTGACCAGAGTCATGAAGGTTTGCATCTTCTCGAAGGCGGTTGGTTCCGATTTGATGGTCGGGTCCAGAGGATCAGCGGGTATGGCGCATATGCCCATCAGTAGCTTCTTCTCATGCTCCAGCATGCCGTGTATATTGCGATAGCCCTCGGAGAGAGCAGCCAAGGCCTCCGGCCGGAAGAGCTCATTCAGAACACGCATCAGGCTAAGCACGTGCGAGAGCAGGGGCACCACATGTTTCGTTGCCGGATTCCTGCAGATGGGATTGCCCAGATCTGTGCAGCCAATGACAAAGCCTCCGCGCTGGGCACGGTCCGGGTCATCGGGCCAGGTGCACCGTTTAACGACACCCAGGACCACATGCAGAGCATCCAGAATCCGCGAACGTTGCACAACGGAGGGATCCCGGTCAATATCGTAGACGGGCGGCTTGTCCAATCCAACGAAACGCATGAACTCCAGCGGTGATTTGAATGCATCGCCAAAGCTGAGCCACTCCGAGCGCTTCTGCTGGATAATGTGCTCGATGAAGAGCGTCTGACGCTCAAAGTCACAGAAATGATTCGAGATTAAGATGAGCGCCTCCTGCAGCGTGGTGCGCATCATTCGGCACAGATGAGGCGACGACGGCTCCTTAAGCAGGCACTCCACGTGATTGTTGATCTGCTCGAAGACGGGCAGCAAGAGCAGTGGATATTTGTGTGCCAGTTTGACCAGCAACGAGGCAGCATGACGACGCAAATTCTTGGCGGACTTCTGTTGCACCTTCTCCAGCTCATTGGGTGGCTTCAGCACCAATGCACGGAAGATCTTGTCCAGGACACGAGGCAGGAGCGCCACCCCACTCATGGCCACACAATTGTTGGGCGTCAGTTGGCACGAGGACATGCTAAGGAACACAAACAGCGCTGATATGCAAGACAATAAAATGGAATAGATTAATGGATTTGATGTTTCCAGCTTGAGGCACTCCTCCAGCAAACGAAGGCCGCCGGCGACAGCTGGCCGCTCGGACACCATCAAAATGCGACTAAGTACACCATCCAGGACACAAACTAACGCATCCCACTCCAAGTAAATGGGATCGAGTACACTGCAACTGATGTTGGACATTTCCTGCTCCGAGTGAGCGTTGCGCAGTCGCAGCTGCAGCCACTGTTCGCAATAGCCGTACGTTATCAATGGCTGCACCAGCGTTGCCTGCCGAAAGATCTCGAGGAAGTCGGTGCGACAGCGAAAGAAGTATATGGCAAAATCCTCCTCGCTGTCGTACTCCATGCGTATGTAGGCTTCAGTGCTGTTGGGCGACAGGGGTTGGGTGACTCCATCCGGGAGTTGGCTCGGATAGGATATCTTGACAATGCGCGGCGCTATGGTGTGTATTAGCTTGGGAATGTAGTTGACCATCAGGTAGTCCTTGGAACAGCCGTCATGCTTCAGCAGCAGCTGCCAAATCAGGGTGGCTCCGTGTGCCACAGTCAGCGATGGATGCTGGACGAGCAGCAGCAGGCATTCAAACATTACATTCAATTGTGCCGGTCGCTGTGTGCCCTCGTCCTTGCCCCACAGCGCAACCAATTGTTGCACCATGCCGTTCAGCACTTGAATGAGTTTCTTGAGAAAATTATGGTGCTGCTCGATGGCCTGCGCACTGCTGGTGTCCACCTGCATTTGGGTGGCCGTATAGATGTAGCGTAAGGGCTCCTCGCCATACAGCTGGAGCAGGGGTTTGCGCTCCTTTGTCTGGCCCTTACGATTTGTGATTTGTGCGAGGCATTCGGCGGCATTGCATTGGAATGCTTTATCATTCAAGAGTATGCAAAGGAAATGCATCAGTTTTCCATTGCTCGACATGATGTGATTGATGCTGACCCACTCCACAAAGCCGCTCAGCGTCAGCAGCACCGTCTCAACGACCCGGCTGTGGGCATTCGCCTTGTGATAGTTGCCCAAACGAGTTGTTTCCCGGAATGCGGTCACGTGCTGTTCGATCAGACGCAGAAAGAACTCAAATATATCATTCATGTTGTTGTTGAGTGCCTGATACATGTCCTTGCGTCGCTGATTCGATTCGATTGTCTGCAGCAGGGCCACGTCCTCCACCAAGCGCAAGAAGACCAACAAAACTAGCTCCGTTTGAGCCTCACCTTTGGTGCAAGCCTGCGACAGTTCGGGCAACAGATCTGACCACTGTTGGGGCCATTCACGCTTGATCATCTCGACTATGATGCGCGAGAGAGCGTCCTTTAAATGCAACAGCGTGCGATCCTCGGCTGGGCCAACGCCCAAATTTAGCATCTTGATGGCATTATCCTTAATGTACACTTTCTCCTCGTGTGTTATGCAATTCCATTTGAATTTGATTGTGTACTCGATTAGCTGCAGGCCGAAGTGCCGCACCTCCTGATTGAACTGAGCTGAGCTGGCCAAATAGAGTCCCACCTGGGCGCACAACGGTGACTCCTCCTTGAAACGCTCGCAGGCCATATAAGCTTCGAGCCGTGCCTGCTGCACGGTCATTGGGTGCATTATCAGGTCCACGGCTTTCGCCAGCTCAGCGGCTAGAGCCTCCGTAACCCCATGCTGGGCCATCCTCCACGAGTATGCTTCTCA